AAGGAAAAGCAATCCACGCATAGGGATAAGAGATCTAGCTAGTTAAGGATCAATAGCGCCTGACCACCCAGTTCACATTTTTCAATGAATTTTAGCATCCTGAGACACAGGTGGAAGAGAACAATTGTAAAAGCAAACAATAGTCTTGGGGCTGGGAAGGTGGCTCTGTGGTAGAGCGCTTGCCTTGTATGCACGAGGCCCTGGGTTCGATTCCTCAGCATCCCATAAGCAGAGAAATACGGAAGTGGTGCTGTGGCTCAATGGTAGAGGGCTCACCTTGAGCTGAAGAGCTGAGGGACGGCGCCCAGGCCCAGAGTTCAAGACCCACGACCAACCAAAAACAAAAAAAAAGCAAACAACAATCTTGTCAGAATCTGCATTCTCTCCTTTAGAGGTTTTTTTTGTGTGTTTTCTTATTAGTCAGAAAGTAGGCATAATTCAGAGTGGCTGTGGGTATTCCCGTTCAAACTAAGATGTTGTTAAATCTTAAATATCCTTTAGGAATGGCTGCGGGTGGTGTGAATTCTAATAGAAAAGTCACCATGGCTTCCCATAACTGGCAAAGACATGAGAATCAGTCCGTGGTGTAGCTGTACAACTCCAGTACTACAGGACAGCCACGTGACACACGGTCTTAATTTTTTAATATGCACTTTTCTATCTGTTTCACCGAGGTATGACGGAGTTCATCTTCAGGCAGTTAGAAAGATAATGCTCCTTTCTTCTCCATGTTCCCATCAGGAGCCTGAGTGTTCTGGGAGCTTTAAAAAAAAAAAAAAAAGATAACTCAGCAGCTCTATACTGTGTGAAGATGGAAATTTGGCTTCCCAGATGTGATTTCTGTTCAAAAGGACATGGAATCTGGTAAACCTGCCCTGACCCATGGTGGGGTGGGAAATATTTTAGAAACTTCACTCATTCTTTCAGACAAGATTCAGAGTGGATCTCTGAGGGGATTTCTTTCAATTAAAAAAAAAAGTATCATCTTATTGAAAGCCCTCTGGACATGAAGGGCTAAACAACGCTATCTCCATAGTTTGTCTCTGAGAATACGCGACCAGAAACATATAAACACCCAGTGACTAACCACCTGCTTGCCTTTACGTGAAGTGGTGTATTTCTAGAACTCTCTCTGCCCAAAGGGATTCTGGGCAAAATGTTATGTTTGTGTGCTGGCAAAGTGTTATTTGTTTGTGCGTCTGGCGTGTGTCAGCCCAGATCTGGCTCTCGATGTGCGGTGACTCAGTCTGCTGGGGCAGCCGGGGTCCAGGTTGCTCTTACCGCCCCCTTTTATAGGTGAGAGGACATCTTCTCCTCCCCCCCGCTGACAAGGAAGGAGGGAAGCTGGGGTCTGAACCCTGGACTGGCCGACTCCAAAGCCCACACCCTTAACTACTATGTTTACAGACCCTCTCCTCAGTCATCTCCCTGGTCTTAAAGTCCCTAAGCATTCATTCATTAGTCACTAAGCATTCATTTATTTATTTAACAGGTGCCCAGTGGTCTGCCCTGGGCATTGCAGGGCGGGGCAGGCAGGGGTGAGTACACATCCCTGACCCAATCAAATGGACCCACCATGCTGATTGGCCCTTCCAGTGCGGGAATGCTAGGCCTCACAGGCTGGCTGGTGTCTCTGGGATGAGTGTATGCTCCGAAGACCTTGCACAAATACCCTCTCATGAATACCCGCCTGTCCCTCCGCCCCGTCCCGTGGCTGAGAACCTCCCCTGGCTGCCAGAGCTTTGCTGTTCTTCGAATGTGGTGGCTTTGAGAGAGCGAGCGAGCTCTGGCTTTTCTCATGCTGTCACCGGCAGCCAGTTGTTAAAGTATCATTAACGGGGACCCAGACAGAGATGACAGGTGTAAACAGTGTATAATTTATGATGCGGGGATCAGGTTTCTCCACGCCCTGAGCAACTGCTTGCGGGCTCGCTTCACCTGCGCCCCGTCTGCGCTCTCTCTCTCTCTCTCTCTCTCTCTCTCTGTACAGCGTTGTTTGAGAAACATTTGGGATTGGGGACATAGGCCCGCTGACATATGGGAAACGGTCGGTGAATGTCTAGGTGCTGGGTGCCCTGGTCTCCTTTCTGCCCAGTGCTGGGGGTGGGGGTGAAGTCAAAGACTTCAGTGACTGGTGCTTCTAGAAGGTTTGAGGTTGGTGGGGGGGGGGATGAACTGCTGTTCCCAGAGGCGGATTCCCTTCTCTGTCTTTTCACTGGGACCTCCTTGGCTGCCCTCTTACATTTTTCAGTGCTGACATATTTCAGGAAAACTTGGGACTAAGTGGGGGTGCTTGGGGGAGGGCGCTCTGATTGAAATGATTTCCTGGAGAAACTGAACATGGCCTGGGAAGTCCCAATGATGGGAAATCCTGGCCCAGGCAGACCGGCAGACGTTTCTAGAAAGCGAGGAAGAAGACGAGGAATTCACCTCACGCGGAGCGCAGCCGCCAGGATTCTATGCCCAACCACCGCTTCGGATGCTCCTGGCCTTCCTTCTTCTGGTCCAGCTTGTGTCCCAGGGCCCTGCGCCCCCCCCCGCACCCCTCAGCTCTCCATGGCCCCCGTCAGCCCGGTTCCCAGGGCCCCACCCCTGCTCTGTTGGTTGAGTTTTCTTCCTGACATTCCACACGCATTCCTTCTCTCAAGGCGGAACTTGTCCTCATTATCCAACACATGCAGAAGGGTAGCCGTGACCTGAATGCATTTGCGTCCTCCCTCCTCCTCTCCCAGGCCTGCTTCCTCCTCCTGTAACTCCCTCAGAACGACTGCCACATGGCTAGTGTGGAGGGGCGGTAGGGTGGCACACACCCTTAATCCCAAATGTTTCAGAGGCACACACAGGAGGACCTCCGTTGGAGGCTGGCAGGAAAAGCAAGGAAGACTCTGTCTCAAACACACTAAAAACAGAGCCCCCGAGGTCTGCGGAGCGCTGTGCGAGTGGTCCTGTGCCTGGTACTGAACACAAAGGCCTCGAGTCGCATCCTCAGACCCCGTCCCCGACCCCCGTGTGGTTTCCCAGCCAGCTTTGTCCGGCCTTCCACCACGAGCTCTCCCTCCCTCCTGCCCACCATCTTTGACGCCGCCGTTCTGTTTAGCTGGAGCTCACTGGTGTATCCTGTGAGCCAGGCCCTGGACGCTCTCCCCGGAGGCCCCCACCCAGGCCCGGCCCGGCCCACGCCACCCACCAGGTGTCCGTCTCCACCACTGCCAGCCCCAAAGGGGCTCCTAAGTCCTCAAAAACCTTACGGTGACATCCGGCTGCTGCTGCTTAACAGGACGTCAGGGTCCCCTCCCCAGGGACCGGCTCGGGCCCCTGCTCCCCGTCCAGTGCTCCCCTGCTCTCTCCCTTCACACAGAGCACCAGCTGCGACGGGGAACAGGCCCAGGCACCCACAGCTGAACCAGGCTGCCGGCCTCTGGGCTGTGGGCCCTGACATCTCCCATGATGCCTTTCCGCTGGACACACAGGGCTCTGGGCAGTGTTGGGGGAGCGGAGGGAGTTGCTGTCCCTGAGTTTAGGAATGCAAACATGAAGAAGACGTTATACTGTGACGGCCGAAGGCTTTTCCACAGGGACCACAGAAACCTCACCCAGGCGCTGGCCACCGAGGAGGTAGATGGCGGATTCAGGCCTTTCTGGCAACGGAAACACCAGGAAAGGGAATGTATTCACCCTTGCGCGTGTGGAAATTCAGCCGCTTTGCCTCGGGGAGAAAGACGCGGGCCGTGAGATTTGGCGCAGTTGGCATAGGAGTTGTGACCAAGTCACATTATGGGAGAGGTGGAGGGAGAGAGGGAAGAGGGATGGAGGGAGGGAGGGAGGGAGGGAGGGAGGGAGGTCAGTGGTCCGGGGAGAAACGGGGTGCAGGGGTAAGGCCCACAGAAGCCCCACTGGTTCATGGAGGACAGGAAGGATCTGAAGGAAGTGGTTGTGAGCTCGTTGTACAAGTTTCCAGACCAGTGTGCGATCTCTGGAGCTTAAATGACTGGAGGCTGTACTGGGGGCCGCTGACTGTCCACCTGGCCTCACAGCCAACTGGAAATACAAGCTGACTGGGTGGTTGACCCGCCAGCCAGGAACGCGGACGGCAGGCAGGAAGGCTGACTCCGATGGGCCCAACAGCGTTCTGTCGAGATTACAGGGGTCATGAACCCCAAGATCCAGACACACCCTGAAAAGTGGGGCTGAGGCTGTCCAGAGAGGGAGGCTGGAGGGAAAAGGTCCGGCTTATTGATGTAGGTGGGCAGATTTTGGGTTTGTTTGTTCTCCTTTTTTGAAGACGAGATCTCCCTCAAAGCCCCAGCCGGCTTGGTCATCATGATCTTCCCACCTCAGCCTCCCGAGGGCTGGGATTACAGACGTGTGTCACCACGCCTGGCCTGCCCAACCCCTCTCTTCCCCACACCCCTTCCCTTTCTCTCCATCAGATCCAGTCTTGTGCAAGTTAAGCCCAGTTCATCTTTGAAATACCCCACCTGGGAACCCTCAGTACAGAGACTCCAAATGCCAACGGCCTTGTGAACCGCACCACGGCCCTCTCCTCGATCTTTGTTTCCCTTGCTGCCCGGGGAATGCTTACAGAGCGAGGTTCTTCTACAGCTCCAAGCATACATACTAGGCTTTAGGCCTCACCATATTTGTTTATCATTAAGCAGCAACTACAAGCATTCAAACAAACAAACAAAAAACACCACAGCTCTCCAGATCATTCAATCATCGCCATCTCCTTCGCCCACATGAATGATTTCAGATAAAACGTGCCCGCCAGACTGGACTGGTGTCTATCCCCAGCGCTACCTGTGAGGAACTTGATTTTCTTGTATGAGAATCACCAGTTAGGAAAATCAAGCCTGAGGAACAGCAGTGAACTGGGCTCCCCTCCCCTGTCCCGTCCTCCCCCCCCCCCACCACGGGACTGGATTGGTCCTTTGGTACCATTTCTAAGAGCGCTTGGAATCGACGGGAGTGGGGAAGAGCGGAGTCCATTGTTTACTTACAACTAAACCAAAGACTCCTCTCCCGCAGCAGCATTAGGATTCCTGCTTGGCTGGTTTTAAATAGACGAGACTCTGCCCAGACATTTGCCACCAGCTCTGAGAAGAAAGAGACATTGTCCGGGGACACAGTCGTGGGAAGGCCGGCCACACCGGGGTCCGACTGCACACCTCAGATCTCAAGTGGACTTTGACCAATCAAAGTCTCCCTGCACATCTTGCACAGGGTGGACCAACCCAGGGAGGACCGAAGAAAGAAATTCCCTAAGTACTGCTCTGTTGGGAAGACATTACGGCACTAAAATGGGGAGCCCCAAGCTGGCCGGCAAACTACCCCCCAACTCTCACAACAAGCTACCATGTGCTTATCGGCCTTGGACCACAGAGAAAGGCTCTGATCTTCCACCAAACGCCCTGGTAACCAGCCCAGGTCCTGACTGGCCCAATGGGCGGGGCTCCTTCAGGTACCCCCTTGTCCAGCCTTCTCTGCAGCTGGGGGACAGCCCCCCAAAGCCAGCGCCTCTGAATGGGGGAAAGGCTTTTTTATTTAAACCTTGTGCAATTAAGAAAAAAATAAAATCAACCAAACGGGTGCAGCTTTCTTGTGCGAGGCAAAAGCATGCACGACTTTGCCGGCTCCGAGTTCAAGACTGGCCGGCTCTTAAGAGAGGCAGATGGGCAGTGCGTTCATGTGTGTGAACAAAATGGCAGCCCCAACAGCCGCGAGAGGGAGTGTGCACCACTGCACGCACACAGACCCGCGTGCACACGCACGCAGACAGGCCGGGCTGAGAGGAAAACCAAACTCGTAACCATAAAAGATAAGCACAGAAGGGTGAGGTTGGGCCCAGAGGGGCCCAGGACCATCACTAGCTGTCCAGTTTATGAAGAAACCAGCGCTTAAGCCCACCCTCCTCCCCCACCTTTCCCTCTGCGGGAGGAGACTTCCAGAAGCCACGCAAGGCCCGGGAACTTCCCACATGGCCATTCTCCAAGTGTGTGACTTAGGGGGAAAAATACCTTTATTCTTATTCAACCACAGGGATACCAGGTAGCTCACGCCTGTAATCCTGGCTTCTCAAGGGGCTGAGATCAAAGGATCGTGGCTCCTCGCCAGCCCAGGGAAGGACTCCTTATCTCCAACCAACAGCCAGAAAACCCGAATAGGAGCTATGGCTCCAGTGGTAGAGCACTAGCTAGCCTTGGGCAGACAAAACTCAAAGACAGCATCCAGGCCCCGAGTTCAAGTCCCAGGACTGGCACCGAGGGGAAGGGAGGGGAAGGCAGTAACAGTGACCTTTCTTTTAGGGTTTAAACTTTCAGGGTTGCCTAGAGGATGGATGAATCGTGGGAGCGTCCAAAACACTCCATTTTAGGAACTGAAATGCCCATGGAAACGGCTGAATATCTTCACCTGCTCTTAAAATCTCGGGCCAGACGCTTTGTGCGGGCCATGCCTGAGGCCTTCTCCATGTGAATTCTCTGCGCCAGATCCGCTCACGGCTTCCATGGATTGTGTGTGTATTTTTTTTTTCCAATATTGGTAATGGGGTCTGCGTGATCCTTTAAAAGCATTGCCTTTCTTGGACTAATTTGTTGATGGGCTTTAATCCCCCTCCCCGCCCTGCCCAGGGCCTGTGCGGGGTAAGATGAGCAGTCACTCAGTCTCTGAGCTGTCAGAGGCACCCCTGTGGACATGGCCCCGGGGTACTGGGGAATGAATCACCCCCAGGACCTTTGCACCCCGTGTGTCTGGAGCTCTTGGAGCACTGTTATTCCAATCGCTCCAGATTAGCTCTGAGCAGAGGTTGGTGGGTGGGGTATGTTGTTTCCGGTCATCTTATCAGCGACCTCCTTCGCCAGGTGTATCTCCTGGAATCTATTTCAGGACCTGCTTTCCATATGCTTACATTAATTATATACAAGATCCATAAATAAATCAACGTCACAGACAAAGCTGAAGTCCAACCTGACAATTGCTCGCGTCTTAAGCCTCTTCACCCCAGGAACATCCGTGGTCTTGGACGCGGCAAGCACACCTCCTCATTACCATGCGCGTCTGGTAGATTTTTTTCTAGAATTTTCTATGCCCCTTCTTTTTTGTTTTTTGACTTTGGCAGTACTGGGATTTGAACTGGGGCCCCGGTGCTTGCTTAAGCGGGCTTTCTACCCCTTGAGCGGTGCCCTCCTTTCTTGAAATTTTAATTGGGTGTGTTTGCTACACTAACGTCTCTTGTCACCCTAACTTTGGAGACGACTGGAAATCATTCACAGAGGTGAGGAGGACGTTTTTAAATGACATGTTCCACAATCAAGTGAGTTTCGCGTCATTGCGGATTAAATGTGATTTTAAATACCTGTCCTGACGTAACACAACCTCAGACTTCCACCCCTGGTACCTCCCACAAACACCGTGGGCACGGCTGCAACGCTTCTAAACGTCCTCCAACGCTTTAAAACCAGCCCTGAAACACGGACAGCCACGTGGCTTCTCTTGAGTGTGTCCCCAATTCATCCTGCCACACGAGCCACACTGATTTTCAGCACTATTTATTTCCCTCTCGGGTAGATCCTGAGATTTAGTGATTTTTCAGGGTCCTCGAAGTCTGAGTCCTTTGTACCTGGCTAACATTTCACTTCGGGTCCGCACTCCACTTGGCATTAGACAAGCTAAGCTGCATTCTATTGCTTAGTGGCCGGGTATACATTCTTGGGCATTTACTAGCCTGCTTTTCCTCTTTTTTCCCTATTAGTTTTACTTTCTGTTCGAGGTGCATTTCGTCTTATTCATCCTCATGTGCTCAACTCGATAACCTCTCTAAAGCCTTTCATAAAGAAGTATAAATTCTCAGTTAAAGAAATGATAGCATTTTATAAGCGAGGTCTGTTTTCTTTAGCTAATGAGATAGGATTTAACTTGTAGTTTCAAAGTGTGTAGCTATTATCACACTAGGAGATGCCATTCTTTAATTAGAAAATTACCCATCATCATGCTTTTGACTCGAGATCATTTGAAATTCCTCTTTCAAAGCAGATGAGTAGGGCCTGGGGGGCGTGGCTCAGGCGGTAGAACACCCGCTTAGAGATTAGAAGGGCCTGAGTTCAAACCCCAGTAGACTACCAACAATAAGCAATCAATCATATAGGTAGTAGACAAATAGCAGCACGGTCCTGTGGACCCCTCTCTGACCACTTCAACCTCAGTCTGAACCACGCAGTAAGAGGCCAGCTCTCTAACCGGGCCTGTGCGTCTGTCTCTGGGTGACCTCCTTCTTTTGTTTGACAGATTGCCCGGTGTGGAGCTCATTGGGTACCTCTCCTCCCGGGAGAGCCCGGGCCCGGCTCATAGGCTGACACCCAGAAGGGATGAGCTGCCTGTTTATCCACAGGTACTCTGTGGTAACTCCACCAGGATCATGGCGCAGAAGGTCGGCCGAGGGGGCGGGTGCTTGTGATCAGGCAGCCTGCGTACTTTATACACCCGGATCTGTGTCTGTAGGTGTTGGGGAGAGACAGCGGGAGGGGACAGAGAGTGGCAGAGAGATTCATTTGGCCTGTTTGGTCACTGCTGGCTCCATGTCTTCCTGGAGAGTTCATTCTCCTCTGACGGCCCCGGCGCCTGCCAACAACGTGTTCTCCTTCGGGTCGGCATCCTTTGGCACGGGGGTGGCAGCCCGGTTCCGCCCGGTGGAAGGCAGATGGGGAGAAGCCTTGTGCAAACACTATTTTCCATTCGCCAACGGGTGTGCGAGCGCTCAGTCCTCATCCGCGGACGGGAGTAACTCGGTGGAGGGGCCGGCGGCGGGGCTGGACTGCTCTGCCGTTGCTGACTCTGGACTGTATCCTGGGGGGCAGGTCCCCACGGGGCCCCCCGTTCCCGGTGAACACCTCAGGCCTCTCTGTCTAGGTTTAGTTTTCCGTGTGTGTGTGGGGGGGGGAAGGGCAGGATCATCAAGGGCAGGAGCTTATTATTTTGGGGGTACTTGTTAGCCTTCAACGGCACCTGAAAGCCATGTTCTACAAGGAAGCCACCCCAGGCCAGTGTGTCGGGTTAAGGGTTAATTATCGTGCGTGTTCCTGAACTCAGAGGCCACCCACACATGTTCACCCCGTCGGCACACCAAGCTGGCATTATTGTCATTACAAGTTCAAACGCTAATTAATAGTTAGGGCGCACCCGGCCACATCTGACGCACGAATGGCTACCCAGAGTAGAGGGAGAAAACCCCTCAGACCTTCCAGAGGCTTCCTCCAGCCGGCGGAGGGACCTGCCTTCCCATGCACACGGCCCATCTCCCCTTTCCCATTTTACTCGGTATTCTGCCCCTCCCCAACCCCCCCCCCCAAGGGGGGAAGAGAGAGGGGGCATCGTTAGCTCGGACAACCCACAAAGATGAAGGGGGACAAATCGACCCAGATCAGACAGGGCTCTCTTCCGCTCGAAACCCCTCTCTCTGCTCCCCCGTTTCCTGAAATATTCTGCAAAACAAAAAGCCTAGCTCAACCTTCTCTGGGTCTCTACTGAAAACACCTCCCATTCCCTAGAAAAGTCTCCACACAGACGAGAGGTAGAGAATACTCATTCGTATATACAGTGCGAATGTCATAATATCCAACAGAGTATAAACGGGACACAACCCAATCCTTAGGCTCCCATTCTTTAACTCAAAGAATGTCAACTCTTCGCTGCACCCAGTTTCTAGGACGGTTTAGCCCAGATTTTTTTTTTGGGGGGGTGGGGGAGAGGGGAAAGCAACACACACATCCACCACATGCTGACACAAATTTGTGTTGGCAGAACACAAAATAAAGTAAATGAGCTGGGCGCCAGTGGCTCACGCCTGTCATCCCAGCTACTCAGGAGGCTGAGCTCTGAGGATCAGGGCTTGAAGCCAGCCCACACAGGAAAGTCCCTGAGGCTCTTTCTTATCTCTAACGAACCACCCAAAAGCCAGAAGTAGGGCTGTAGCTCAACGTGGTGGAGCACTAGCCGTGAGCAACGAAGCTCTGGGAACAGCGCCCTGGTCTCGAGTTCAAGCCCCACCACAGACAAAAAAAAAAAAAAGCAAATGCCATTCTTAGGATGCATCTGGAGGG